GTTCTTATGAATTTTTCTGCTATCCATGTTGATGTTGCTTCAAGATTCCTCTCTGCTCTCACACAAGTATGGTCAGGCCCTAATGACTTAATTTTGAAACTTAATCCATCAGGAAGGAGTGAGGTATATGGATTCTCCAATTGCATCGCCTAGAACCACAATGAGCTGTTACTCTAACTCTCTCATTCTTCAATCTCAAAACAGTCCTAAAGTGGGAGACATCTTCAAACATCATTCCTTTCTCCATTGTAATTGTTTCCCCTTCTTTAATCTCAAACGTGTTTCCATTCATAAACCTATCAGCATTTATAGCTTGTACATCCTGGTCATCACTAGAATAGTTCCCTTCATCATCATTTGATTCATAATCTGACAATCCAGCAAGATCAGAACGGTTCCCATCATCCTCATGTAATTCTTCTTCAACTTCTTCACCATTCCATTCTTCATCATCTTCCTTTGAATCAAAAACCATGTAAACTTCTTCACCATCTTCACAGTCAATATTGTTATCATTACCCAATTCGTTCCAATCCACATCACTATAATCATCCAAATCCCTGAACAAATCATCAACCATACTAGGCCTAGATTGAAAACCCATAGCTGACCTACTATTGCTCCCATGCTGCAAAGGCATATTAGTCTCATGGGTCTCCTCGAAGCCCATAGGTGCAGAACTGTGTGCAACATCAAAATAAATAGGAATTTCTTTAATTCCTACATATAATCCAAACATTCCAAGGAGATGCTGGTCACATTTGATTTCAATCCTAACTTCTGACCTTGGTACCACATCATATAAATCCAATGCTATCGCATAACTTGCAGGAACATTACTTAATGCAATTTCACAACTATCAACAATTAAATCCATATGGTTGTACTTGTCTAGGTCTACACTTAGAATATGACTAACAGATCCTTTATAATGAACCACTATATCATGCCTCATTTCAGTAGCCATTTCCTGATACAACAAGTAAATAATAGACAAATCATGTGCACAAAAATGAGAATTCAGTTTATCCCCAATATCCGTTCAAAAAAAAAAAAAAAGTTTATCCCCAACATTGTACAAAATCAGTTTCCTCAACATTAATATGTTTGGTTTGATTTTCATAATTTGTTTTTGAATTTTTTTAAAAAAAACTAAAAACTAATTTATTGAAATAAAATAATAAATAAAAATCACTCATCAATTTCATATAGTTTTATATTTTTGAAAGAAAAGAATTCTCAAAATTTAAAAATATATACCTTTTTGGTATTTATTTTTGTCAAATTAATTTTTATTTAAAAAAAAAATTAGAAAACTAATTTTGAAACAAAACCAAACAGACTATGAAATCAAGTATTTTTGTCACAACATTAATGAAATTACAAACTTCATACATAAAGCACACTAAAAAATTTGGTGATTTAACCAAAAAAAAAAAAAGAAAAAGAAAGAAAAAGAACAATCATTATAAAATCTGTTCAGAACTCAAATCACCATCCTACGAAGAACACATAAACACCATTATAGGTATATGGATAAGGTTTGTGCAAACCATAGTCAACAAATTTTGATAAGGTTTGTGCAAACCATAGTCAACAAATTTTGGGGAAAACGAAGTTTCCAGGCAAAAAAAAAAAAAAAAAAATAGTAAAAGTAAAATTATAAATAGACCCATTTGCTTGTCTTCAACTTGTTAGTTCAAATCACAAAAGCACCACATAAAAAGGCAAAAACCCAAAATGTTTTGAACATGGGTAGCAGTGTGCAAAACTTAACCAAAAATTTATGGAGAAAAACAAAATCATACAAACTAAATTTCAATCTGTACAAGAAAACAGAGTACAAAACCCATTTTTGACTTCCCCCAAACCTCAAACTCATTTACAAAAACATAAGAAATTACTTACACCAATCGTTCATGGAGAAACCCCTTCGCAGAGAATACCTTGATCTTTGTCTTCAATGAGCCTTTGCCATCTGCTCTCTACACTCTTCTCTCTTTTTTCTAGAGGCTTCTGAGTCTCTTCCGCCGAATAGGGCTTGTGGTAGGTAAAAAAGATGTGCTGAGATGATAAATAAAATCTCCATTATTTTAATATTTTATATGTATAAAGGTTAAAGGTAAACATGTCATTTTAACTTAAAAGCTAACATCTTCAAATAATTACACTGACAAGGGAGGTCAGTGTAACTTCCTAAATGTAAAGGGGGAAACTGTAATAAACATAAATCTCAAGAGTTGTCAATGTAATTTATCCAAAATATATTATTTACACTAATTTATGTATAAACACTAAAATATATACAGCTAAGAAGCACGGACACTTCTAGGAAGGTGACGTATCCGTGTCGGGTACGTGTCGGACACCGACACTCTTTGGACACTCTCAGGACACGTGTCCGACACTCTTCAAAACGTGTCCTATTGTTTAAAGACTTGGACACTCTTTGGACACTTGAAGGACACACGTGTCAATCGTTTAAACACACGTGTCTAACGATTAGACATACGCAAAACTAATTATAAGTTTGAACAAAATAACTTAAGATACAATAATAAAATAAAAACCATATAAATTTATAAGAATTAGTGTCATATTGCATTTTTTATTATCTTTGAATGATAGATTCATATATATATAACATATAATAAATATATAAAATTATATATTTCATGCGTGTCCTCCTCGTGTCGTGTCCTGCATTTTTTGAAAATTAACGTGTCGGCGTGTCCATGTCGTACTCGTGTCGTGTCAAGTGTCCGTGTCCATGCTTCTTAGATATACAGACACACAAAATCACACAAAATTATAAAATAATACAAATAAATAGACTAATAAACTGTATGTTAGTGGGTCAAATGTGTAACATATAGGCTCCGATCAGTAATGTTTTTGCAAAAAATGCTGGATGTATGAGATGTGTGCTCGAGCGACAACTTGTTTGCTTGAGCGATGTAGTCGAATTCTGGGTTTTCCTGAACAAAATTTGAACTCCAAAACGCAAGTTTAATGCCAAAAACCTTTGCATGACATGTTCTAAACCGCATAAACACCTTCAAAAACATGAATACAAATCCCACTTCAAACCCCATGTTCAAAACTTCATGAATTCTTCACAATTGGAACTCTAACCTTTATGCATGTATGAATTATTTCCAAATTCTTCTTCATAATTCTCAAAACATGAAATTAAGCTTCAAATCAACATGATTCATGAGTGCATGTAGAATTCAACTTCTAAACTTAACATAGGTAACAAAACTCATGATCAAAATGATGATTCTACACTCTTTTTTGCAAGTATGTATGAATTGACTTCAATTTCACCACCCTTAGCTCAATTCTTATATTTAATCACATTATCTTCTTGAATTCATATGTCAGATGAGTTATCATCAAGAATTGAGGTTGAATTTCATATCTGGAGCCTTGAATTACACTTGTTCTAGCAATTTCTTGATCTCTTCTATTCAATCCTTCAATCTCTAAGCCAAATTCTTCAAGTTCTTCTCTTTCTCTCTAAATTGGTCTCACTATCTCTCCAGAGCTCACTTCTAGCATAATTTTGAGTTCAAATTATGGATTAAGCTCTTAATTTAACATATATATAGGCTTGATTAACTTAGACTAATTAAACAAGCTTAAGGTTAACTAATTTCACTTAATTCTCATTGATTTAATCTAAATCAAATTTTAATCAAACTTCTCATTGGGCTCTAAAAGTTATACCATTCTCCTTAAACTAATCAATTTCGGTTTCTGAAGTCATTAAGGCCTTCAATTTCAGACTTCAAACAGAAATCATAACAAATATTCCAACAACGAACAGATAGGCATTCAAATACACATTAAACACATAGATCACATTCAAGATTAAACAGATATAAGTATAATACGTGATGGGGTTGTCACACGAACACTCATAAAAAAAGCGTGTCTAACATTTCTTCAATGTGTCTTAATTAAAATTTTGGTGACACTTTTTAAACTCTCCAAGCACAATCTATATGATGAACCCCTTCATGGTAACAATTTTCAACATTCTTCGAGATGCAATTTTGCACTCTAAATATGTTTTGAAACATTGATAAAATGAATACATCATGTGTATTTCAATGTTCTAGATTGTTTTGCATTTAATTTTAGTTAGTGTTATGTTACTTTTGCTTATTACATTTGAATAAAAAATTCATATATTTGACATATAATAAATATAAAAATATAAATTTTTAATGTATACTAGGCATGTTATGTTCTGCATTTTTTTCAAATCGACCTGTAGAGTGTCCATGTTTTTGCTACTCAGTCAGCCCCGAATTAGCTGTGATTCATTCATCGAGCTATCACTTGACTTGGTCAAGGCTCAGCTCTCTGAGTGCAACCTACCTCAAGAGTTTGACGGTGCGGTTTGCTGAGGTGCCAATACAAGCCCTAGAACTCTAACTTCCAATTCACAAGTTCCCTAGTGGTGCTGAGTGGGATACCTAGGCTCTATGCCAAGCCTAGGTAGCACATTCAATGTGCTTCATTCTGGATGGAGGTCGAGAAACGCTTAAGTGGACTGTGCGAGTGCGAGGTGTTGGGTGGAGTTTGAGGTTCCCAGGTGCAGAAGTTGGCCTGTGTATAACCTTGGGGTGATGGCACATGGAACATGAGTCTTGTAGGAGATGCCATCCAAGGGGTGATGTGACGGTGCCATGTGGCAAAGTTGGACCCATGTACGTACAATTGATAGAATTGATTTAGCTGCTTCCACTTATCATTAGTTTGGCTTGAGTAGTTTTGCTTTGCATTTCTTTGTTTCACCTTATATAATACTATTTACTTTCAGTCGAAGTTCTTAGCTGTTATATCCATAGGAAATGAAGTTGCTCATTTAAGTGGCACACATGAGTTTGGTTCTTCAAAGAAGTCTGAGCAAGAATCTGTTTTCTTTGTAATTAAATGCACTTACTGGTACTTAAAGAAGTCTGAGCAAGAATCTGTTTTCTTTGTAGGGTGTGGATCCATCTATAAGGCCAGAAGTTTGGGAGTTTCTTCTGGGATGTTACACTTTGAGCAGCACTGCAGAGCATAGAAGGCAGTTGAGAACTGCCCGGAGGTGTAGGCCCTTTCATATTCTACCGCATTATATTGCAGATAAATTTTCTATTGATTTCATGCTTAGACCTAAACCTGCCCACTTGGTAAATGATTCTTAAGAAAAGATGAAATAATGCCATAAGAAGCCCATTTTAGGAGTTCCATGCATCCTTAGGGGAGGATTCGTTTGATGATGTTCATTTAATAAATCTTATCTTGTGTTGCTTTGATATCATTCTGCAGTAAGAAAAATGTCCTATTCCTTTATTTCTAATCTTTTTTACTATGCCAGGTATTTATTGGACAGTATATAGACCACTGCACATATATTTGTATCTCAATCCTGAATCTATGGGAATCGGTTTCCTTAACATGAAATGAGGGATTCCAGAAATTTTATGAAACCAATGAATGTATGTTAATGTTATGCTGTTTGTGTAATAATACAATCAATATCTATACAATTCTCTATTTCTCTTTACATTATATTTCTACAAAACCAATGAATGTATGTTAATGTTATGCTGTTTGTGGACTACATATTGGTCCGGAAATGATGAAAGTACTTTGCTCAAAGCTTTTTGTCAGTTACAACATCTTATTTGGTCATGAGTTTTAAGGAAGTAACTGAAGGAATTGAAGCAAAAAAGGAAAAAATTAACTTGAAGAACTTGCAGCTATAATAATAAGCTATATACATATATATATATATAAGGTAAATTTCACTGACCTCCCTTGAGGTTTGAAAAAAAATATAGTAAGCCTCAAAAGTTTGACTCAAATACACTTGCTTCCTTTTTGTAAGGGTAGAACAAGCATCAGTAATGCACGTGGTGTACGAACACATGCATAATCAAATGTAAAATATATATTTTAGTGAAAAAAGAGATGACAACATCATTTTTCATCCATATTATTAACAACGTGATTGATGGTAAGGGGGCAACATGTTATAAGAGTGAGCGCAGTGTAAATGTGTCAAACTTGTGGGGCTTCTTGTATTTTTTCTAAACCTCAAGGGAGGTTAGTGTAATTTACCCCCAAAAAAAATATTGTGGAAAAGCTGGTAACCCCTTGGAATTCTGTACTATCTTGTAATTTTATTTAACAGCTTTTTCAAAACTTTAATGCAGGGAGCGTTACGGAGATCTTATCAATCAATGTCAGATGATGCATTCAAGCATAGGTACAGGTTCTCTTGCTTATGCTGTGGGGTCTAAAGTCATGGATATGAGGACAATGTCCAAAGATGGTGGTAGAAGTGAACCTCAGGTCAAAAGTAGACATGCTTCAGATAATGCAAAGAGATTGGAGAATTACTGTGATTGGGATAATAATTGTACAGACACACCATATGCATGTGAAGGGGAAAGCTCTAGTGATTCAGCTGACCTTGCCAGTGTTAGAGGGAGCACGGATAGTGCAGCATATGACTCCTCTTGTTTTATACCTACTTCTGGTCCATACAACTGCCATTCCCCCAAACTTGGGAGTGAAGCACATGGATCACAATATGTAACTGAAAGTTATTTTGATTTTCCGCCCTTACCTGTTACAGATTTGTTTGAGAAGAATGGCAAAGATGGGAAAGGACGTGAATTCCATGACAATAGACTTTCTACACGGCGTAAATTGCAATTTGAAGATGATCATATGCATAGTTTTCAAATTAATAACAATGTAGATCTAATTATGGAATCAAATGGTTCCTCATATAATGATGTCTCACGTCCTATTAACTGTGAAATTGAGATGGTTCATTCTGATGCCCATGATCCTGCATCATCATGGTCCAGTAATCTGGAACATAAAACAGAGATAATTAACGAACTAAGAATATCGGATGTGCCAGATACACCATCTATAAATGCAACCACGTCTCAAGGGGGGCCTGTTAGTGAGGACAGAGTATCCGAATGGCTTTGGACACTGCATCGAATAGGTAAGTTAGCTCTGCATTGTTCTCTTTCCGCTCATAAGAATTAGTGATTGTCACTTTTTCCTGGGGTTCGATTTTCTTGTGTTCTAGTCTGACAAGTTTACTGTCTTTTTAATTTTTTTCCCCCAGTTGTTGATGTGGTCAGAACAGATAGTCATCTTGAGTTCTATGAGGATTCAAAAAATTTAGCTCGAATGTCAGATATTCTTGCTGTTTATGCATGGGTTGATCCTGCAACAGGGTACTGCCAAGGTTGTGGCCTTGTCTTTTGAATGAACCTTTTTCTATTACCACCTTTTTCATGCAAAGCTCTAGATGAGTCTATAATGTCAGCTTAAACCATCAATTGTAGCCTGTTCTAATTGAGAACTTGATTTTAGGTATGAGCGATTTGCTTTCGCCCTTTGTTGTTCTTTTTGAGGACAATGCTGATGCTTTTTGGTGCTTTGAGATGCTTTTAAGGAGAATGGTATATTTGAACTTGGGAGATTTCTTTTGCATAAGATATATCTTAACTTGGAGACTTATTTTACTTGAACAAGTTTGATATTCTTTCACTTGTATATACTTTTCACACCTCTCCAGCGTGAAAGCTTTCAGATGGAAGGACCAACTGGTGTGATGAAGCAGTTGCAAGCACTGTGGCGTATCTTGGAGATCACAGACAAAGAAATGTTTGCTCACCTTTCACATATAGGTGCTGAAAGCCTTCATTTTGCCTTTAGGATGCTGCTGGTACTCTTCCGCCGGGAGTTAACTTTCAATGAGGCTCTTTGTATGTGGGAGGTTTGTGCTTGTAGTTGGGCTTTCTCACTGGTTAATTGGTGTGGCTACGGTGAAAATTTGTTATGGTAATAGCATAATAGATCTGAAGATATTGAACAAAATAGCATTCTGAATTTCTGGAAGGGGCCACAATGTTTACTAGACTGTAGTAGGAAGAAACAGCGGCATTGATTGGAAACAACAATGCAGTTCATGCTATGGTTGCCAGCTGCATGTACTATTATGACAAGATTCTTGCGGGTTTTTTTTTTTTTAGTTTTTATTTTAAGAGCACTCTTCTATAAAGCATGTTGCATATATTATTCTGCAACCATGAAAGACCAACTCTTATTTGGGTGGCCTATTGCCCGGACCAAATTATTGTGAATAGACAAAAATTTACCCAAGTTAAAATGCAGAGTGAATTTAGAAGTGTAATTTCGTCTTTTCAAATATTATACCCTGGCCACGGCCAAGGCTGCACTGGCAATAGGGCCATTCCTCTTATTTGTAGTCCAAAAGTTGGTAAACTTAGGATCAGTTTCAAAGATTATTTATCCATCATTGTTTGGAAGAAAAGAAATGTCAAGATAAAGTTGGTCAATGGCTTCCATTTCATTTTGTTATAGACTGTATTTAATGTAATATTAGGCTGTTAACTGACTAAACATATATTAGCACAGCCTTTAGATGGATAATTTATCTCCTGACTACCCATGCTCCCTATGCTTTTTGTGTCCTCTAAATGAACTGCATTGCATCACATTCCTTTAGGACTGTGTACAAAGAAATAAATAGGAAAAAGCTAAAAGAAATATTAAAAAAATAAAAAAGGTGAAAACTTTAACCGAGGATTTTAAGTGAACTAATTAAAATCAATAACAATAGCTAGGCCTTTGTACTTCTGATGGCTATGATCAGCAGCAAATGATACATGCATCTGATGTCCTATATTTGGTTCTATAATTTTCTGGATTTAAATCATGAGTTTGCTGTGTGGAACACGAACATGTTCCAATACTGGTACTGGCATTATTTTTTGACTAAAGAATGATATAGATACAAAGTGAATGATTGTTGTGAGACATACATTGTCATTAGCAATAAATGTCAGGACACCAGGAAAAACCAAAGAGTCTCGGGAAATGGATTAGATCTACTCACTTTCATCTTTTTCATGTTATGTAGACCAGATCTTATGTGCTGCTGTGACCCATGTCCCTAATGTATTTCATTTGGATGTTACTTTTTAAATGCAATTTAATAGTCAACCTTGATTGATGTTCGTATATTTATGTTTTATTTGTAAGTACATCTTCTTCTTCTATTTATTTTTTTATTTTTTTTTCCTTTTAAATTTTTGTTCTCACTGCAGATGATGTGGGCTGCTGATTTTGATGAATCTGTGTCTTGCAATTTAGAGGAGAACTGCCTGGAGCCATTAGTAATAGAGATTCCCAGGGAATCAGGTGCCGAAATGGGAGAAGAAAGCGTTGAGAATGTAAAGGGTAATATAAAAGGTGTCTTACAATCAAATCATGGAAATGGAGATCCCTCCATAGCTGACAGCAGTGGAATAAAATCAGCATCAACCCATTCCTTTTGTGGATTGACAAGAAATTTCTGGTCAAAAAATGATCGCTTGCATATGTGCACAGTAGTATCATCTAGAAGGAATGGTGATGATGAATTACCTGTCTTTTGTGTAGCGGCAATTCTTTTCACAAATCGTCAGAAAATAATCAGAGAAACCAATTCAATTGATGATCTGATAAAGGTAGGTCCACTGTACTAAATTTTCCGCTTTATACACTTGCGTTGAACTGAACACCCAGTTGACACATGTACTGTTATTTATTTTTTTCTTTTTCTTTTGTAATTCTTGGCTGTCAATTATTGAATGCCCATGATTTGCTAGCTTGAAGAAATCTGCCCCTGCCTTGTATCATATCCCGGGCTGGCCCAACCTTTGATGAGGCCTAAAGCGAAATCTCAATTAGAGGGTTTTTTATATTTAAATGTTTTACAATACAAATTTTGGGAGTTATTTAAAGCCTTTATGAGCGTTATGAAATGAAAAGAATTGAAAAGTACATACTATCAGATAAATATAATTTATAAATTCAAAGTAAAGATCGTGTCAAGAAAAAAAATGTGAAAATTCAAAATAAACTTGTAAAACATATTCTAAATTGATGTTTGCCTTTTTCAAAGTAACTCTTTTAAATTAACAGATTGGATAATTTCAAAATTTGTGTAGCAAATGATAGAGGCCTTTTTTTTTTGGCAATATGTATAACATGTATTATATTCATGGGTTGAGGTCTTTTTGTTATAATGTTTCAAAATAAACCTTTTAAAAAATATACATATATAATTTTAATTTCTTTAAATTTAGGGGCCTTCTTCACAAATTGGGCCTAAAGCCTTTGCTTTAGTGGCTTGGCTATTAAGCCAAGTTCGATCATATCGGGGGTGGGGAAAATTAGTGGGTGATGAAAGCGGGGCAGGAGGCAGGTTAATTTTGTAAGTTGGAAAATGAAAATATTAGTTTATTATAATGAAAAATAAATAAATTATACATATTATATACATATAAATATAATCGGGGTGGGGTTCGGGCGGAACGGGGCGGGGAAAGCGAAACCCGTCACCACCCCACTTCTTAATCAGGGCAGGGGAAAATGACCATCCCTAATGTCAGGTGATCCTAACTAGTGTATGTATCAAAATTGCTTTCTGGTTTTATTTATCCAAAAAAAAAAAAATTGCTTTCTGGCTTTAATTTTTGTGCAGGACTGAAAACTAGTACTCAATTGGTTTTCTTGTTTATTTGATAAGTATGCAGCAGTGAGTGAAGTGCCACTATATGTCAAACTAAAACAAGAAAGTGGTAGAGGGCTAGGATAGACTGCAGTTGTAGTTTGGCCATTACCTCTGACAAAGTCGGCAAAGTTATACAAATGCTTGTGAAATCATGGGGTTGGTGCATATTCTAATGATGTGGGATATAGCCCTTTAAGTCTATAGCGTTTACATGCATTTGGGTACAACTAACCCATGAGCCTTGCTTTTTCATGGTCACCATCCTTGTTTGCTTTTCCAAGTTCCGTTCATTTGCAATATTCTTTTCCTTTTTTTTTTAGTCTATACCATCATGATACAAGTAACCCTTTCCTTTTTGGATTCTTGAGAAAGTTCATTGTTTTAGAGCTTCATGTTTTTTCTATTATCTCGGTTGGTATCGCATTTATGATTTTATGATCTTCTCTCTCTCTCTGTCTCTCTCGCTCTCTCTCTCTCTCTCATGCACACACAAACAAACAATAGATATATGTATATCGATTATAATTACTTTTTTACTTAATTTTTTTGGAGTGTCAGTGGTTTCTTACAAGATACCTCTTGCAGATATTCAATGATAGAATGCTTAAGATCAGGGTCAAGAGATGTGTTAATACAGCCATCAAACTCCGGAAAAAGTATTTCTACAAGGTTTGGAGCAGTTTATTTCTTCCATCTCTTTCATTGTATAGCCATTGTGATGTAGAGCACAAGGGCCACAACCTTAATTATATGGCCACAACCTTAACACAATTTTTATTAATCAAAGTCTGAATAATAATACAATGAGAAACCTATTATTTATATGGTAATAACCCTAATTAAATTAGAAAACTAAATCCTAATAATTTTATTTGGAAATTTGATCTCTAATAAAACAAAAAAACTAAATATTATCAGAACTTCTGATTAGACTATAATTAAATGGTGGATGCGCATGCCCATTCCGCCTCACATTGCCTTCAAGCATCCTTTCTAGGGGAATTATCATGTTGGTTTTTTTTTTTTTCCTTTCCTTTTAATTAAGCCTTGATTAATTGATTCAAGCACCTTTTTTTCTTTTTGACTGGCAATTGATTCTAGCACTTCCTAGTGTTTAATGATGCCTTCACCCGTACTGTATGGATGGTGCCTGACTCAACAACAGTAGTGCCCTGCATCATCCTGTTTTATTTTCCATACATGATCCTTGTTTCGTTTGGACTTTTTGTACCAAAAATAGTGCACTGGCCTTCTATTGAACATGTCTTTTTCTCATTTTCTTTTTTTTAATTTTTTTTTTTTTTATACGATTATGCATAACTAATGCATGCATCATTCATCCTTTTTCTTGTGTCACCTGCACAACATGCCATTGTTGGGTTTGTGGAAAGCTGGATTAGCATTAAAGACAAACTGATTGTTCCCTTCATCTTCATTATTATAAAATGCAATTTATATATAGTATTTATTTTTCTCCTCTATCTTAGACGCCTTTTTGAAATTTATTTTGTTTGAACCAGCTGATCAAGAGCAGGAGCCCTGCATCTCAGCACAATGACTAGGGTAGCTTGGTTTCCCATATATTTGTACGAAAGATGCTCAACTTGGCACTTGAGTTGGTAGAGCTGTAAATTCCAGTTTCAAGTCTGGGTGACATGACCGAATTTTGTTATTTTAACTTTTAATGAGGAGCATATAGTGAAGTGCATGTGCTGTTTGAAGATTCATCATTCATCTGTACCTAGAAATTCTCTTCCACTGCAGTGCAAGGTAATTACCGTATCATTCTGCTTTGCTTGCATTGTAAGTACACTCCATGCTGTTAAAAACTTCTGTACACAAGCTTTGTAATGGGCTAGATAAGCAAGAACCTTAAGGCCATATTTGTTTTGGCAGGCACGGCCTTGGGATTAGACTAATAATCTAACAAAATACATAATCTGATGTTTGGCTACGAAGATTATGGTTTAGACTAATAGTCCATTTGGACATGGTATGACCCATATGGGGAACTATTGAATCCCAAGAGGGAGGTGGAAAACAAAATGGAGGACTAAGGAGAGGTTTAGACTAGTTAGTTAAATTGCAAAATTGATGTGATTTTATTAATCCCTCATATTCCTGAGCCAATCGAATATGGGATCGGATACACAATCCAAAAATAATAATAATCCCAGGACTAAGAGCCCAGGAATGCTAATCCCATCTTTTTTTTTTTTTTCTTTTTTTGAACTGAGTCCAAACAAACATGACCTTGGGTCAGCAGGTTCTCAGCCTACCAATTTGGCCATTGGGTTTAACTATTAATTTTCTAACCTAAGAATTATATTATCTTAAAGATGATAAGTATGGTTTTGAGAATAATATTTTGGGGTAATTGGATGGAAGAAATGATTGGGGAAAGCTTCGATCCTGTCTGTGTTCATTTTATATATCAACGATTTGTGGTGTAGTATCTACAATTGTTGACGTGACAAGATTGCTAGCCTGCAGCTGACACTTGTTTGGACACTTGCAAATGAGTTCATCTAATAACTACTTAGAAATAAAATGGATGCATGTAAGACAAAGAATGATAGAATTATAGATGAATGCATTCATAAGATGGTATGAGTAGGACCAATTGAAGATAAGTTGAGCGAGAACAAACTAAATGGTTTGGTTATGTACAACAAAAATGGGTAGAGACAATGGTGAAGAAGTGCAATAGGATAACGGTTAATTGAAATGCTATGGGGAGAGCAAGATCTAGATTGACATGGGATACTATAGTAAGAAGAATGTGAATATAATTAATTTTATTAAGCATATGACTCTTGATAGAGCAGAATGGAGAAAAAGTTCATGTAGCCAACCACAAGTAACTGTTTATGGTAACAGTTGAGTTTTGTAATAAGTCAATAAGGTTGAATATGAAGATAATAGAAACAGAAAAGAGAGAAGAAAGAGCACAAAGTTCAACGGGATTCGGCCAATATTGGTCTACATCCACATACACAAAGTCTTGGGGGGGCAACATCTTTCATTCACTTAACTTGATACTCTTGTTCACATGATACACTATATATATAATGGAAGATACAATCAAATCCTTTCTGTTGAGGAATTGAAACAAATCAAAAATACAAAAAATCATGAAAACACAAATCATGGGATCTCCATATATTATGATATCTTCTATATCTTCTGATATTTTTGACAATATAATCTTTATCTCCAACACTCTGCCCCAAGTTGGAATATGGAACGGTTAGTTGTAGTGAAATGTCCAACTTGAACTCGAAAATAGGATGATCATTACAAACAACTACAATGAAGTTGTTGAAAGACGACAATAATTGTAATAACTCCCTTCATCGACAACTTCAATGAACATAGGTAAGGAATCAACATCTTGCAACATAGAAACATGCATTGAATCAATTATGATGCAGTAAGAGAAACCAACCGAGAGAGAGAAAGCAACAAGGTCGAAGTAACTGCAAATCACCACAAACAAAAAGGCCGAAAAAGGGCGTCTCACAAAGAATGCTACTGAACACATTGGTAGTCCAAAAACAAAAAAGAATCAAATACGTACTTATCACATCAGCACAGAGACCCTAAAAGGGTAGAGAAGTAACAGAAAAACTCAACATATCATAGAATAATGCTACTGAACACACCGGCAGCCCCCCGAAACAAGTAAAAATCACAAAGTTTGCTTACCACATCAACAAACTAGTGGTCAACTTAAGGAAGAGGAAAAAATACCTTGATAACAAAAAATGTGGAGAAAGTACTCTGTCGAGAAACATGCCTAGGGTACAATAGGCTCTGATACCAAGTTGAATTTTGTAATAAGGCAATAAGGTTATATATGGAGAGATAATAGAAACAGAAAAGAGAGAAGAAAGAACACAAAAGTTTAATGTGGTTCGGCCAATATTGGCCTACATCCACACACACAAAGCCTTAGGGGGCTACATCTTTCATTCACTCAACTTGATACAATCAAATTCCTTCAATTAAGGAATTGAAATAAATCAAAAATGCAAAAAATCATAAAAAACACAAATCATGGGATCTCCATATATTATGATATCTTCCATATCTTTTGATATTTTTTACAATATGATCTTATCTCCAATAGTAACTTCCGAAACAAACTCATACATAGCCATGTTCCAGTCTTTGGAAATTTGGGGGCTGTCTCATGACCATTGTGAGAGAGCATTATACTTGGTTTTTGTTCCTAGGTTAATAAGACGAAGTATATCATGGGACAAAAATCCCAATTTTATATCCAGCCACACATGAAAGCTGGCTCCTATGTGAAGCCTGTAAATTGATCAGCAATATAATGCTGGCCCCAGTCTGAATACTGTTTGCCCTCATGAACGGTTCCTACAACTCCCCTCTAAAGATCAAATATTACAACAGATAACTCTATTTTTAGCATACATTTAGTTTATGCAAAAGGCTCATGATTGCGCATCCATACCTCTTTGTTTGACCTTAGGGCTTGAAATCAATTTTGACCTGCTCTTCTTTTGATGTATTGCAGCTGGGCATTATCATCTAAATATTATTCTAGCTTCACATCATAGAGTGGTAGCCTGATTTTTAAGCTATGTTACATGGACTTTTCAAGATAAATCAAATACCTATCGAACATTCGATAGTTAGACAAGGGTGTGGGATATGCGTCCAATATTTTCCATTGGACACATTTATACTAGATACTATCATTATATGTGTACATTATTGTATAATGGCTATAAAATGAGTAAATATCTTTTTGACAAAGTATGTTACATATATCTGTGAATGAAATCCCACATCTCCTAGGTATTAAAGTAATGTGAAGTATGTAAGTGTGAGGGCACCCTCACCTCAGCAGCTAGCTTTTGGAGTTGAATGGGTAAGGTGCGTGTCCCTGGTTTGCACGTGGCAGGTGCCACTGAGTGAGCGCACTACATGTGAGGGAGGGTATGAAACAAAATCCCACATCACGTATGTACCAAAATAATGTGAAGTATATAAGCTAGCTTTTGGAGTTGAATTCTACCCAAGACCCCTTAAATTTGAGATTTGATGGGCCTGACCTCTAGATATGCATCCACACCCGAGGCCATGTAACATAGAATTTGAGCTAGCTTCTTTGAAACCAAAAAAAAAAAAAAAAAAGAGTTGGCCTAAAACTTTGGCACACGCCCTTAATCTTTTGACTTTTCAAATGGCTTTTTCAGATAATCATGTTTGGCAACCTTGTTAGCTTTTAGGTTTTTAATGCAAAATGACCAATGTGCCCTCTATAAAAATGCATTGTCATGAAAACTTTCTAATGGCATTCTCTCAATTGTTAAGGGAAAAATGTGGAAAATGCTAAACCACAACAGGTTTGGCAACCGTGGAAAAAAAAAATAATAATAATAATAATAATAATAATAAAACCTAAAAGGTGAGCTTCTTTGCTTTTTCATGGGCCATTGGGTGTGCCAAATGAGGCTAGGGCTTTTTGGCTGTTTGGGCTAAAATGCCAAAAAGCCCAGCTTAAAGTTGGCAGCCAATTGGGGTTAGCTGTGCAAAAAGTTATAAGTTTGTAAGTACTACCTCTTTCATCAAACACAATTCATTTTCCATAACCATTGAACCTAGGGATTGCCATTAGATGAATTCATGTAGCTGTGTTTTGGATAAAGTTTATACAAGAATGCAGTGCTTTCTGTCAGAATCCAAACCTTGATTAGTACTGAAGATTTTGTGACATGATACAATTTATAATATTTTTCATTTAATGGCTTTAGTCTTGAGTTGTAATGACTTCCTTTGAAAGAACATCATGAATTGTGGAATGACTCTCTTTTTTCTTTTCACTGATGCCAGCAAAAGGACTGCAAACTGGAAAGTTTGCTTTTTGTCCCGCAAACCGGATCACGTGTACTTCTCTTGCAGTTGCAGGTGAGTGGAATATGATTTCTTCTTTGTTATATCTTATATTTGGAGAGCAAATTATGAATCAACAATTGATTGGTTTTGTGTAAGTGTTTTTCAGAAACAGTTGTAGTGAAAGTCACTTAAAATTTATAGATTTTTTTATTTATTTATTTTTATTTTTTTTGGTATTAGCATAATGATAATGGAGGTTCTAAGAATAGAACTATGTGGTGTAGTATTATCTACTGGAGAACATATATTTTTCATGGCCATATTTATAGATAACATTCTTTTTTCAATGGACGTTTAGTTCTTCTATCGGAATGAGAGTATTGCTTGCTATTAGCAAAAAATAAACAAATAAAATAATTGTAAGGATCTTTCCCCTGCATAACATCAACTATAGTTGTTAAATCATTCCTAGTTGCTGTTACGGTGCTTGTATTTTCTGGTTTGTACAACAGCAATTCAGGCAGTCTCTCTCCCTAAAGCTTTGAGACTGCCCATTGGCTAAAATTGACAAGGCAAACAACTTATTTGATTAGGGTAGTTGGTGAAACTGTAGCTATAGCTGTAGCTCCTGATCAACGCTGAGAACTGATTTAATGTTTAGCAACCTAAGAGAAGGTGGTGAGTGAACATTTTCGTTATTTGTGAAGATTGAGAACCAAGAACTGTCTAAGAAAACATTTTCGTTATTTAGGGTTGATTATCACAACAGCGGAAGAGATTGATGCAGATGTGGCCCATTGGATTAAGGCGGGATGGTGTAAGTGGAGAAGTG